ATATATATATATATATATATATATATATATATATATATATATATTTAAGATTGTATATTTCGGTAGCAAACTCTCTTTTATACAAGTTTCATTGAAGACGACTGACAAGGTAGTACGATTTTAATTAAGTTTTACAAGTATTTTCTTTTCTGGACATAAAGCTGTCAGGTATATAAAATATTTGGAGTATTTTTACACACTTTATGTCCAAAAATGTAAACAGTTTTACGAATAAAAGAAGAAATAATAATCGATGTAACCTTATTAATAGTCCATAATAAAATTCGTACACACACACACACACATATATATATATATATATATATATATATATATATATATTGCAATTTCATGTACCGATTTATGTCCAAAAGATGTAAGATTATGTTACCACGGGTCCTAATATCAGTTAATACAACTGAGACGACACACCATTTATTTCCCCGCTTTCTACACGATAATAACATCTTTATTTCCCCGACACTCTCAATATGAAATCACTATTCTTAATTTTTAAACCTATAGTAAATTTTTGCATTTTAAAGACAGATTTTTATCTTCATCAGAGAAAACATTCGACTTTGCTTATTTTATGGATATGAGAATATGGTTTACATGTCTGAAGATTTGAAGCCGTTTTTTATCGACTTCAATGAAATAAAATATCACCTATGGTTTCTTAAGTGTTTGTTTGTCATTATATAATAATTTTTGTCTGTCTTTTGACGTAGAGCTCTCAACGGATCTATATCCTCTTGGAAATTCTATACGGATGACCAATAATTTTATTATTAATATATATATAACCAAATACTGCTCTTTATCCATGATACTCTGTCCTCTCTACTGGTCTAGAAGCAGCAAAAATTCATCAGAGCAGAATGTTCCAACCACCATTTTATGGAGGGTATATTTTGGTTTCTGAGTTTCATACACTTCCCTCCATACAAAAATGGAGTTTATCTGACCAAATAATTCTAGTTGGGTTTCATCTGACCATAAAACAGAATTTCAATATTTCCTCTTAGATTCTAGATGGCTTCTAGCATAAGTTAATCTGTATTTTAGGTGTTTAACCTTAAGCAAGAGAGTTTTCCTTGTGCAACAAGCTCGAAGTCCTGCTCGATGAAAACATTTAGTGACTGTCTTCGTCGATACATTCAACACTGATGTCTTTACATCATTGACAATGTCTTTTGTTGTTAAGTGAGAGTTCTTCAAGACATCTCTAACAATTTTCTTTTCCATTCTCTCAGAAATTAACCGTTTTCTGCCATTCATTAATTTATTCTCAACACAATGAGTCTCGTACTTCTTGATAATGCTACGAATTGTTGATCTAGGAACATTTAAACGCTTGGAAAGTGTTTTATGTACTTAACTTTGTTTTTTGCATCAGCTGACTTCATTAGGAGCTTTTTGTTAAGTTCAGCCGTCTTCGCCATGGTTGAAGAACGAATGTGTTATTGCGATACGTACCAATCACATATTGTCTTCTTCATTACTTTTTAGAATGTTTTATTTTCGAAAGTAATTTGTAAAAATACAAAATCAAAACAGCTAAGCATTGAGATGAGGGTAAAAATTTTAATTTTATTCTTTTTTTCAGACACATAGAAAGAAACGTTAAAAAAACTTTAACTTCTAGTGCTCTGTGCAGAATTCAGCCGATGTCATTCAATTCTTCTGTTATTGTTTTATGGTGGTCATTTTTGAATATTACTCATTATAATGGCGACAGTTTTCTTAAGAAAGGTGGCACATTAGATGGACCTGGACATAAATTTACGCAAAAGACTCAGAAATTAGAACATTTCCTATACATTTTCGCTTTAATAAACAGCTTGCTCATATTTAAAACAGCATTCCGTATGTCGAGATTATTTCAAGACATATTATGATGGGAGACTCGGTGGAGTAATGGATACCTGCTAGGATTGAGGAATCGGAGAGCCGAGTTCGAAGTCCAGTCGAATCCATTGCATTCACTTACGCTTAGGAAAGGTATGAATCCTCTTCTTCTGGGGCTATGGGGAAATAGCAGGACGGACCGAGTTCTATAGACTTGGTGCCAACTAGTCTACTGCAGAAAGAAATGGTAACCTACTACGTGAACAAATCTGCCTCGTCAGTCACGATTTCTGTAGCTTGAATTAAGTTGTATAGTAATGATTAGCGGTTCGGACGGAAGAATCGGAGATTTGAGATTGTTTTCTTCATATCAGCTTTTCTATTCTGTCCTTCTCGTTACCTTTTTTTTTCTTTTTTTAGTCATTCTTTGCTTTTTTTTTTCTTTATTTCCCAAAAGCTCACCAAGGTTTTCGAGTCCTTAATCATAAAGATTTAATACTTACTACAACCATCCCGCGTTAAAATTAAATTCCTGTTTGAAACCAATATTATGCTAACTTACAGTCTATCACTCGTAAAATCTTTAGTCAATTGTACAAATATCAATTCTACTTTTCATTGTCTAACACATTTCTCCTAACTTTTGACTGATGATTGCATCTTTATCGAACCATACTCTAATTCGTTTGTACTATGAATATCGTTCTTCTCCCCTCAGATATGGATAAATAGTTGGACAGCCCCGGTAGCCATAGATGACAACTGGTCTACCGCAGAAAGAAATGGCAAACTACTGCGGGAACAAATCTGCCTCGTCAGTCAGATTTCTTTAATTTGTATTAAGTTGTATAATAATGGATAGCGCCTAGGATTAAGGAATCGGAGAGCTGAGTTCGAATTCCAGTCGAATCCATTGCATTCACTTACGTGCTAATACGCTTGGGAAAGGTATGAATCCTCTTCTCCTCTCCCAGCTATGGGTAAATAGCAGGACAGGCCGGTTTCTATAGCCGTGGATAGCAACTGGTCTACCGCAGAAACATATGGAAACCTACTGCAGGAAAAAAACCTGTCTCGTCAGTCATGACTTCGGTAGCTTGTATTAAGTTGTATAGTAATGGATAGTGGCTCGGATTGAGGAATCTGAGAGCCGAGTTCGAATTCCAGTCGAATCCATAATATTCACTTAAGTGCTAACACGCTTGGGAAAGGTATGAATCATCTTCTTCTCCCCCAGCTATGGGTAAATAGCAGGACAGACCGAGTTCTATAGTCGTAGATAGCAACTGGTCTATCGCAGAAAAAAATGGCAACCTATTGCGGGGAGAAATCTGCCTCGTCAGTCATGTACATATAAATGATCGCCTCCGCGTGTATCACGCATGGCCCATAACTGACTAACATTATGATGAGCAACTATTTCCCTGAGTGTGTTGCTTCATAGAATATCCCTTTTGTGTTCGTATATTCTTTAATTTATATCATATTCTATATATATATATATCAGCCAAAACATGTATAGATACTTCAAGAAAGGAAAAACTTGTCTTTCGTAGATTTGTTAAATTACTATAACACTGTTTACTGTAGTACGATATTTTTTCAACAGATGGCATTACCTTATTGGCTGTAGCATCAACAAGTGACGTCTACAAGGTGAACAAAGGAGAATGATGGTGAAGTACCCAAACAATGAAAAGAGAAAATTATTGGCTCAGGACGTTGGAAAATACAACAAAATCAACAATCTTGGTTTTAACAACACATGTTAATAGCTTTAGAAACAGACAGTAAATATTATGAAAATAGTATTGTCATCAATATGAAATGAAAGAATAACACGCATAGACATTGGTACAATGGTCTTCATGACTTGCTTGGTGAAAATCCGAGAATATATATATATATATATATATATATATATCCGAATGTAATGAGAACGAAAATAATATATGAATTCTAACGTTCACAACATAAATTCAAAAGAGGGCTCAATACTGATAGTAGACCAATAATTATTTATTGTATATAAATTTGCATATAGATAAAAGCAATTTAGTCACTACAAAGATGCAACTTCGTTTCAGTACATTTCAATTGCACTTCAACTGGTGAGAACCAATCGAAGTGCAATTAAATGCACTAAAACGAAGCTGCATCTTTGTAGTGAGTAAATTGTTTTATGTAAAGCAAGTGAGTGTTATGACATGGCCGCTCCAATCTTCCATAGAAAACTTATGGAGCATGTTGCTCAACTGCTTTCTCGAGAGCCTGTACTTTATAATGCTCCATAAGTTTTCTATGGGGTTGAGGTCAGGAGATTGGGGCGGCCATACTTCTCATCAAAGTATTCCTTCATTAATTTTGATTTGTGACAGGGAGCATTATCCTGTATAAAAATGAGCTTGGTGGGATCGATTTGCACCCTTTCAGAAGAAAAGACTCTAAAATTCTCTTGTACTGCTCACTATTGAGGGTCTTTTAAATAGGTTTTAAGAAACCAGTTCCATGAAAAGAAAAGCACCCCTAGAACATTATACTGAACGGATGCTTGACAGTACTTATTGCTAAATTCAAAGAGCTTTCAAAGCTTCCTCTTCGGATTTTAGATCCCTTATTTTTTGAATTTAGCTCAACTTTCGTTTCATCGGAGAAGAGAACATTTAATAAAAAAAAATCAGGTGAGTCACTTTTATCGAACAGTACTGTATATGAAGAAATACAGTTTTAGGGTGAACTATATTTATGGAATAAAGTGCACAATATCAGAGATAGAGCGTATGTAAATATAAATATAAAAGTGAACATTGAAGTCAACAAACTGTTTCATGCTGGACGCAATTCGCGTTCTGACGATTGCGTCCAACATGAAACAGCCTGTCGCCCCTCGATGTTCACTTATATATATATATATATATATATATATATATATATATATATATATATATCCTGATTCATTCATTCATTTTTTACAGTTTAAAGCCAGAAAATATTATTAGATTGTATAATTTCGGGGGAAGTAATAATGGCTTTAATGATACAATTATTACTAATTAACCCATAGCTCTGGAGAAGCGATGGATTCATATCTTTCCCAAGGATATTTGCCCGTAAGTGAATATAAGGAAACCCAACTAGAATTGAAATTCTGGTATTCCTATGCAGTCACCCATCTAGGTACTGACTGGCCAAACATTGCTTAACTTTGTGATCGTACGCGAACCGGTGTTTCAACGTGATGTGGCCGTAAGCCAAGAGAGAAAAGAGAAGGCTAATGTTAATCTAGCTGACAAGCTTGTGTGAATGGATGAGAGAACGGGGAGCCAGATGCTTAGTAAACATAGAAACGCTGCTAAGGGTCACAAAGCATAGGAAGTTGTGGAGAGTTATGATCGCCCTTGTCCTGAAGGGACAAAGGTCATAGAAGAAAAATAATGGAGAAAAAAGCATTTATTTTATACAATAAATGTATATATTTTTCTCTTTCTTTGTCAATGCACTTAATTCAATGGTGAATATTGATTGAAGTTTGTAGAGTGAAAATTTAAAATGAAAATGCAGTTAGTGTCAAGCTATTTTTTCTTTTTTTTTTCTAATCAGTATCACCCCATGCAAGGCAATAAAGCCACTAAGACGCAAGGAGTTACAGGGTGTGGAAGAATTAGAAGCAGAAACATTAATAATGGGAAGAGAAAAAAAGTAATCAGGAGGAGAGTATATAGCGATTGACATTGCTTTTTAATTTTTGAAAATTAAATTTGGCTGTAAAGCATGGAGCGAGAAGTGAGTTCCACAAGTGAGAAGTGCGAGAGAAGAAACTGTTAGCATAGAATTTACAGTTACATCTCGCCAGTAAATTGATAAGATCACGATACTAGTCTAGTACTCCGCTTAGATTAAAAAATAGCGAAGAGCTAATCCGAACAATTACTATGAAAGTATTTATAGAAAAGACACAGCGGTGGGAAAGTGACTAAAGCCGAGCCGCCTGATCAGGACTAATAATATTGCTGATTCTTCTTTGGATTTTATCAAGGAGTTCAAGGTCAAGGGGCACCGGGCCATATTTGGCAGTGATATTCTAAGCATGGTAGACTTATAGATATGCATGATAGATTCTGGAGAAGTAAATTGTCTCGTACGATACAGTGAACCATCTGTCTATATTTCTGAGATGAGGTATTATGTACATTATTTACATTATTCGGATTATTGTCCTCATCTTTGTCGCCCTATTTATCACAACGTTTCGGCCGTTGTACGCTCCGGCCTTCTTCAGGTGGTTGGAATTTCGAACTGAACCCTTTATTTCGCTCACTGGGGTAGACTGTTCTAGTTCCACGTGTCATGTTTGATGGATGTCAGTTATCAGTTATCTCCTGCTAATTTCCCTCTGAAAGTTCTCCACTGCCTTAACCGAACTCACACTCTTTGGGTCCTGTTACTGGATCTAACCAACGCCTGTATCCACTGTGCCATGTGTCCTTGAGGACATCTGGGTATTAGAAACCTAATGTCTTCAGCAACCACCTGAAGAAGGCCGGAGCGTACAACGGCCGAAACGTTGTGATAAATATAGTGACAAAGATGAGAACAATAGTCCGAATAATGTAAATAATGTACAGTGAACCATCTTTCTTAGAAGCTGACCTAGCTACCGATTTACTTATCCACTCTTTGACGTCCGTGTGAGACAGTTGATATTTCACAGGTGTGGTGTCTTATAACAGTAAAGAGCATAACAAAACACTGTATCAGCGACACGAGTTCGATTTCAATTGGAGACATTTTACCTCACATTAATACTATAGGGGGCTGTATCTCTACCTCTTGACATACTCTTCTTCCTATCTCCATATATCATGATATATTGGCTGGGAAAACCACTCTCCTATGACGACCTGACCTTCCCAGGCAATGACAATGATAAAGCGGTTTTCTTCAAACTTAACACCTACGACTAGCATACGTTCACTAACAAGAAGAAAATACTTTGAAACATTCCAGCTGATTTCAAGCATCGACGACCAGAGAAACGTACCCCAAATGGGAGGGTCCTATGATACCCTACATTAAACCCGGTGTCAGCCGAATCACCTACATCTGTTGTAACTACAAAGGTCAACCAAGCCTAAGCGATGTGGGAGGGTTTCACTTCATGGTAATATTATCCTTATGTCTTTTGTGAAGGAGAGAAAAATTCCCAATCGTAGAAAGAGTCACATAGATACACAGGGCGTTCATAAATAAGTATACAATAATGAAAAACAAAAACGTGTGTACAAAACGTAATGTATTGATTATATAAACATACTGCTATAATATTTACTGTATACCTACATATGCAGCCCCTCTACATATACGTTATATATATAGAGAAGCCACTAGGATACAGTGGGTTGCAGAAGATTTGGAGCGAGAGCAGATAGTAGTGATAGAAGAAAGGATGAGGAGAACGATAGTGGGTAGATCAAGGTAACTGGAGGTGTCGATTGACATTACATTTGAATAGTTGGAGAATATAGCTTTCAGGGAAACAGTAATTGGGGAGGGTGTTCCACTGGCGAGAGGTGCAAGGTATGAAGCTATTGGAGTAGAAGAGACGGCTACATTTGAAGGTTTCTACGGTGTAAGGGTGAGAACGGGATGCCAGCCTCGTAGGGCGCTTGAATTCATGGAGTCTGGGAACCAGTGAAAGCAGCTCATCAGAGCAGTTACCATTGAAGTATTTGTAGAAAAGACAGAGAGAGGCGACGGCGCTTCTGTGAGAGAGTGACTGCAGACGAGACGCCAGATCAGGTCCAATTAGATTACATATAGGATTTAATGTAAAAAACACTGGTTCTGGACAAAATTTATAACGTCAATATACGTATAAATATATACCGGGTGTGACAGCATAATTGTCCGCATCGTGTAATGGCATGGGGTAATGACACATACTAAAAAATGGCTAATATCTAAAAAAAAAAAAAAAATAATAATAATAAATAAAATAAAACACTGAACTAATCGAGTTCTTTTTTCCAGGTTTTCGCATAAGACGTTTAGCCATCTTGACGCCATTTCTCGCAAGAATCACTAAAAAATCCTTTGAAAAAATCTTTTAAAAAAAGAGCAGGTTAAAACTGTTTTGTGACAGCCTCACTATGTCTTCCCAACTGAGCAAGGATGAGACGAAAAAGATCATTCAGGCCTTCAGTAATGATACCAACATTCATATTCTGGCTTTCCTTTTCAAAGTCTATTCAAGAACCATCAAGTTTAAATAAGAGGGAATAGTAGACAGGAAAACTGGATCAGGGGGTCACAACAGGAAGAGGAATCATCATTTCAACATAGAACTAAAGAGATCAATTAGAAAAGATCCAACTTAATCCATAAGACGTTTGGCACGTGAGAGAGGAGTTTCAGCTATGACAGTCCAAAGAGAAGTGAAAAAAAGACTTGAAAATAAAATCGTACGTAAAACCTGTGAGGCAATTTATTACTCCAGGAAAAAAGATTAGAAGGTTAGAGAGGGCGAAGATCATCCTGAATAAGTTGGAAAATTATCCTGAAATAATAAATATATATTTTATCTTTATTTAAATACTTCATGAGATTCCGATCCTTAGCTACTGATTACTTAATGATAAACATGTCGTTTTCGTTCATGATCGATTTCATCACGATTCTTCTGTTAAACTTGGAGAGTAATTATACATTCTTACTGCTCAAAGTAGATTCCAATAGTGTTATAAAAACGTCGGAGAATGTGTGTGTGTGTGTGTGTGTGTGTGTGTGTGTGTGTGTGTGTGTGTGTGTGTGTGTGTGTGTGTGAAGGAGGCACGGTGGAGTAATGGATAGTGGCTTGGATTGAGGAATCGGCGAGCCGAGTTCAAATTCGAGCCGAATCCATTACATTCACTTACGTGCTAATACCCTTGGGAAAGGTGTGAATCCTCTTCTTATCCTTCCATCTATGAGTAAATTGCAGGGCAGACTAGGTTCTATAGCCTTGGATGGCAACTGGTCTAGGAGAAGGACAACTCTGAATTCAAAACCTGCGGAGAGTCCTTTGGGGACCTTGTGGCACGTAGTGCACCAGGTCTCTGTAATCGGCCCTTCAAAAAGTGTGGATGGTCCTGCACGAAACCTTCACCACTATAATCCGATCTCATGTGCTGTTGTCGGGCTGTCGGTTTCCTAGGAACTGATCTGCTTGACCCTCATACGTCGAATTGGACGAGAGAGACGAGTATATATGTCAACTATGAACACGGCCACTATGTGATGACCGTGTCTGGAAAAATAAAACTCTAGGTAGATACATAAAAAAAAATCCATACATTCAGTTAAAAGTGAAAATAAAATCATCCTTGATGATGGTTAAAAGTATTGCTGAAAGCGCTCGGACATACAGAGCATTCGGACAATTTGTACATAATTTATATAATTATCTGTTATTTATCTATTCATTTTCTATGTATTTTCTATTCATTATTTATCTATTATTTAACTATTACTGACATAATTTACGCTCAGAAAAGTACACAATTCTGAGAACATAAGAAAACTTACATAAAAATTAATCGCAGCACATTGTCAGTCATGTTTAATGAAACATGAATAAAAGAGGGATTGCTGCCCAAATACTCGTAGAAATGCTCAGGTTAGTGTCTGAGGGTGGCGTAAAACCACCGGGTGTCTGTTGCTTCCAATGATGTATACTTGTTTTTTTCTTTTTGGGTCAATGCAGCAGACACTCAGAGAGAGGGATTGGTTTCGAGCAAAGCCTTTCCTCACTTAAAAAAAGAAAAAAAAAAACTTCACGCACAGGCATTGCTTGAAGACTTCAGGATCTTACTGTGACTTGACATAGAGGCTGGTCGTAGGTAAAAGGGCAAACCAATTCAATGAAGGCTTCTAATGATATTAGCATCAATGTCAATAAGGGCTCTGGAACTAGTTGTGAAATGGTCTGGCCCCAGCAAGTGTCCCTGGGCGCCGCAGCTTGGACCCAGTCGTCATCCTACTACTGCGAAAAAAAAGTAAGCCAATGAACATCGACTGTTGGGATTTTAGGACTTTGTTGGATTTGCAGTCATATGTCTCACGTTCTAAGTGTAGAAAAGTGCAGCAGAATTGAAAACAACATGTTAAAATACACGGCAACAGCTTTGCAGGAACTGTTGCCAGAGATGTTCAATGTCTGCCACACCTGTGCCAAAGAACGTCTTTGGCAGGACTAAAAAAACCACATAAGAG